CTGTGAAATCACTCGACGGGGATTTTAGGGCACTCATCCGGTCTTATCGAGATAGGCTAACATCAAAGGCGAATGAAGAGGGATTGGGTAAATGGGCTCGCCTTGCCCTCTGTGTAAGAGACTTAGAGGAGCAAATCTTGAATTATTGCCTCATGTAAATAATCTACTTGGCTTGTTTTTTGGGGAGGTGAGAGAGGAGCTCATGAGTCACTCGGGTTAGAGAACTCTCAAAGTACTTTGGAAGCTCTCATATTTCCCTTGATGGGAAACAACAGTGGGGGCTCCATCCTCAGGAATGTAAACAACACAATGTTCCCGACTTGTGTGATCTGCCTCAACAGTTTGAACGCGTTAAGCCGGAGAGATCTGGAGGTATTAGTTGTCGAGGGGGGACTCTAGGACTCCGATACCCTCTGAATACAAATATTGTATTCAGCGGCTTAATTCTTCTAATTTGAATATGATTTCATTTAAGCTGAATAAATAAATGCTGCTATTAGTCTCAAATTGGAAGGTATGAAATTGAAAAACTGTGGCTTTTAGTTAAGAGTGGCGTTTAACCAAAGTGCCACCGGCAGCCTCTTGTAAAACATGTTATATAACACATGCTGACCATACATTAGTGGAATACATGGCATAGCTGGGATTGCTCTTACGCCGAGCGACACCAGTAGGTTTTAAAAGCTGAGGTTACTGGCTGAGGACATTTTGTTCAAAACAATTTCTTTTTTCTTTTTTTTTCTCCCTCTGCTCCCTCCCATCACTGAGTGAGCTTAGACTGCAGTAGATGGAAAGGGATTTTCTCTCTCTAAATGGCCAAGGGGGCCGTTTACGGTGTCACTACTATGGGATCACATGATGTTTGAGGGTGTAAAGGTCTCGAGGCAGCTGCTCCTTTTCGGATGGGATTTTCGAGGCGTCCAAGAGCAGGGCCCCATGCTGTCTGCACTGAAAGGTGGAGCAAATACTTCTAGCAAGGGGGGGGGGGAAGCACTGAAATCCTCAGAAGCTGTGTGTCTATTTGAAATGGGTTCTGGAGTCCCTCGGCTGCCTTCATGTTATAAACACCCACAGTGCTCAAATTCTTCTTTTGTCAAGGAGTCATAACAGGTGTCTCAGGAAGGATTTTTTTTCCACCCGGTTAGCATATTTTCCACTTGCATGGAAAGTTTTTTTTTCTTTATTAGGAACATTCTGCCCTGGGTGGACCTCTCGCCTTGAGACATGATATGTAGACTTTCTTTGAAGCAGTTAAGGTTACTTTCACACCCGCTCAAAATTCGGCCATGCCTAGTTAAACCAGGTTGTGCTGAAGTATTGAACACCTCTGGCTGGCACATGTTGGTAAGCCATGACGCACTTTGCATACAGATCAGTGCTGTCTGTGGCAAGTATACACAGTAGACATGACATATTTTTATGATCAGGGCTACAATTTAAAACGTACAACTGTTGACCAACCCCATAAAATGCACTGGATCTCTGTAGCGCAGAGTACCAGTGCCCCCTTGGGATTACAACTAAGCATTATATTATGAATTTAAAGCAGTAACGCACATATAATTCAATGTGACTGATTTAGAAAAAGGCCAAGGTGCATCTTCACCTTAGTTAGGCCAGTTGCCATAGCATGGCGGATATGTTTGTATATCCAGCCCCCCCCCCCCAAATCTCTAGGAGGCTAATGGCGCAAACAATGTGCAGAACGCAACATTATTCATGTTCTCAGCTTCCAAGATAAAGGGCTCTATCTCGCAGCGTAGCCTGGCTTTGCATCATGTTACGCCTGAGCATCGCAGCTATTGATGTTTGAAATGGCAGTATGATGGGGAAAATACAAAAATGATAGAACTGCCTTCAGTATTACCCTGGGGTGTTCCTTTGGTTTATGTTTGAAAACACAGCAATTGTTTACTCCGTATTCCCCGATGTAATGTCTGCTTTCTCGACTCATTTCTGTTTAGTCTGTTACAGTCATTTCTAAACTTTGCTGTGCGGTTCAAAAACATCAAACCTTTAATCAGATGCGGTCTCTCGCTAAACGACTTATCTGGGTATCGGGTTTTTATACATGGGAAAATAATAAAACGTAATTTTCTAATTGCTCTGAAAGCATCACCTATGAAATATGTGCAGTCGCCTATTTTTGCCAAGTTGAAGATGAATATCTGCTTTTATTTTGTGCATCTCTTTGAGGAAGCAGTTCAAGTTCCTTAGAAATAACTTTTGCTCACTGCTCATCTTGTTATAATACTGTAAGGCTAAATACAACCATGTGTGAACAATGTTTCTCTCTTTTGCTTTTATCAAGCTGACGTTTTAGACTCCCAACTGCAGCAACATTTGTGGTAAAGTATCCCATTTAACAAAATCCAGCTTTGATTTTTTTCTCCCCCCCTCTTTTCCCTGTAAGCAGTTTATATAAACAACTTGCACCTGGAATGTCACGGTTAAAGAATGGCGTAAATGTATCCCACTTTTAGTCTGTTGTGTTTCTGGGTTTACGTGCTCCAAAACACAACTTCTTTACTGCTCGAAAAGGGAAGAAAAATGTTGCGACTTAACTAGGGGATTGGAAAATATATCCTTACAGGATAAGCTGAGTAAGTTAACAAAAAGTCTAGCACAAATATTTGGAATACTGAGTCAAAAGTAACAAATGCAGTATTTAAAATGGCGATCTAAAAAGCGATCCTGTGAACTTTACTTGTGTTTTCTGTTTAAATGATCAAGATAATTCTGTTAGGAAGGGTTAGGAGTGTTACAGAACCACAAGACACTTTACAGGACTCTCTGTTTGTAGGTCTTGCTTATAACAAGCATCAGTAGAGACTTTCCAGCAGCAGCCACATGATAGTGCTCACCTTCAAAACCCACAGGCAGCTGCTTGTTATGTGCACATGTAACTTTGTGTTTTGATTAACTTCCAAACTTTGGTTTTAGTTTGGAATTTGCCGCAAAGTGTGCACGTCCTGTTGTAAATTTGTCACCGACCAGCATTACTGCATTAGCGGACATTGGCATTGGTCCATTTTATTTTTGACACGTGTTTGTGAAAATTTAAATGACATTTGGGCTTTTTTAGCTAGAGGCAAGTATAAATAATTATTTTGATTGTTCTTATTCCATCTCATAAGTGCCCTCTAGGTAAAGTGAGCATGCTCTCTGTAGATCAGACATAAATGTTTGAAATATATAGCTAAACTGACAGATAAACACTTGAAATATGTGTCTGAAAAAGATAAAAGCATCTTTTGTTTGGTACTATTTAATTAACAAAGTCAGAGAGCATCCAGTGTGAGATCATTTTAACTAAACACATTGAGTGCCCGAGTTCATCTGAAGTGCTCTTCTGATATATTGAGAGATTGCTAACCTGTTAAATTCAGAGAACAGGTACATAATGCAGTTAAAATGTTTAATTTAAAGATAAAATAAAAAGCTAAAACCATTATTTTTTTCAGGAAGTGCCCATTGAGGTTGCGCATGTGAAGCATAAAGCTGTTAGATTAGTTTTATTCTGAAAAGACAAACTTTGAATATGCAGCACTTGCACAGTGCTGCTCCTTTAGTTATCCTAATGTTAACATTATCATCATAGCAACAGTCTGAGTGATAACTGGTTAGCCAATATTATAAGCAGATCCCAGCTTATTGCAGATTTATTGTTATGTATGTTGTCCAAAATCATTTTTAAATACAGAAAATGATGTATAAACAGATGCTTGGGCTGATGTAGAAATGGTGTCATCGTGTAGTTTAACCAGAAGAGTGCCTCCCACTTTACAGTACTGTCTGCACAATGTACCGCACGTACAGTTGTATACATGTCATAGCTATGCATTAAATATGTTGTCAAAAACTTCATGAATTATGCTTCTCATGTGCTGCTCCTTTTTCATTATTTCTGTTGGCAAACTAATATACTTAATCACTTTATAGGGCTGATGGATGTGGTTTATACGCTAAGAACTGCTCATTTTAACCCGTTGCCGTTTGGTTGCTGAGCATATGTATTTCAACTTTTATGGCTATAATGAGATGCTATTGTTATGAAATGAAAACAACTGGATGCTTTCATTAGGTGATGTAGGTGCAGAAATGCTAAAAACGGGTCATTTTAGGATGTTGCTGGGCGGTTTCTAGGCAACAGTGATAACATCATAATATCTGATATAGATGAGAACCACCAGGGGGACAAGATGTACCTGTGTGCTACGTTTGGTTGCTCGACTCCTGATGGTTTTGCAGGAGTTTGCAAAAAAAGACACACACAGACAGACAGAGCTTTTATGTTTTATAGTAAGATAACATTTTTTTGTTCTTCCTGGGGTTGGATGTCAGCCTGATGGTTTTAAGTGCTCCGACATGGAGCGGCATTAGCATTAAGCTGGAAGCACAGTTGTTTTCGCCATGAATGCAGGTCTAATAATCTTTCTCCTTTCAGCCTTCTTATGGTCTTCATCAGCCCCTCAAAGAAATGTTTGACGTTTTAGCTGCTAAATGCTCTATTATTTTCAACAGTTGGCTGCGAAATTAGTGTGGGGGACATTAGGGCTCGGAAAATATTTTTGCTCTGAAGCTGAGTACAGCTTTATAGCCACAGCGGCTGGAAATAAGGTTGGTGGGAGCAGTGTGGCTGAATCGAAACAGCAACTTTGCCAGCGTTTAAACCAGACAATGGGTAGAAAGAGGAAATGGGAAAATTCTGTAGGCTTTAGGGAAACCACAAGATTAGGTGACATTATCATGAGAAATTTAATGCTTGAGGCTGGCATGTTAAACGGGCTAAGTTGCATTTGACATACAAACTCCAGAAAGTTTTGATCCACTCTGCATTTGTACCCATCTCACCATGTCCCTTGCATTCTCTGCATGTCTTCCTTCATTACCTCTATAAACCTTCTCTTTTCCCCCGCGCTTGGCATTGCCACAGTCAGTCTGTAATTGTTCTTAAACAGTGTCTTATGAAGCATTTCTTTTATTTTTGTTTGTTTCAGGTTTGAAGAAATTGTCAAGAGGAACAAAGTTGAGTACCATGCCGGTGGTTCTACCCAGAACTCAGTCAAAATTGCTCAGGTTAGTCTTCTCTGGCCGCCTGCCATGTGCCCGAATGTGTTTTGAATATACGGTGGTATGCTTGTAACCTTAGATTTGTCTGCCTTGCAACCCTGGGAATACTGAGCATAGCTGCACAGCACGATGACACATTACTGTTTTAGCTTTTTAGCTGTTTTGAATTCATCAACCTGCCACGAAAAGAGAAAGGCGGGAAGGATTAATAATATTTACAGTGTTATCTGGTTGGCCTAATTTCCTGAGACATATCAAACATCAATTAGAGAGAATTACAAGTAGACGCAATTAACATGTCACAACAAATTATACCAAACAAATGCTGATCCGCTCTCTGGCTGTTAAGACAGATTTGAGCATCTAAAAGAAATTGGTGATTGTCCAAATCTAAAATGGCAATCTGAACTTTTAGAAGATTATTCACTGAATGCTTTTTTTTTTTTTTTTTTTCATGTGACTGCAGCAAGTCGCTGAATTTGACATCCAGTGATTAGCTGCTGATAAGGCTTTGGTCTGTTCACAATAAACAAAGAAAAAGCATCTAGCTGAAAAATAATTCTCTTCCAAGGAGGAGAAATGAGTGCAGAAGCTAATTGAGAGGCTGATGTCTGTGGAAGCGTGGAGTCTTTCTTCTGTGTGGGTTTTGTTTGTATGTGTCAGTACAGTGTGTAGACTTTGTATTTGTACACGTGTGCTTGTATATGTGCGCCTGTGTGTGTTTTTGTGTGTATTTAGCGCAAGATAGATACAGAGCAAGGGAAAAGAAAGCAAGCAGGCCCTCAGGCTGCCACCATCTCCATGCTTTGGAGACAGTAAACATCCTTTAAAAATGAGACGCCGAGCTGTGCACCTCCGTACAAACACTCTTTAATTATCAAGATCAGACACGTTTGCATAAACCTCAGTCACTCGCATTAACATTAACTGTCAAATTGATTTTATTCTTTAGGCAACAACTCCCTGCCTTTTAAATCTTGTTTGTTTGATGCAGTTAGATTTCATATAATTGGTGGACTCGCTTTCCTGCTTGAGTCGGTTAGATGTTGGAAAACAATCACTGCAAAATGCTGGAGCTTAATCTGTAGATTCACTTTAGGTTGCCACAGTGTAATTTGGGCTTCTAAAGGGTTTCTCGATTTAGAAACAACGACTTGAAGATAATGTCAACGGAGATGTGACTCAAAATCTGTGGAAGAATTCGGTGAAATCAAGGATGGTGGTCCTCTTAACCCTCCCCTCAAAGAGCCAATGACATGTGAGCAAGTCGTGTTGCTGGTTTGAAACATGCGCAGATTTGGTTTTCAACCGTTTCAATTAGTTTTCAGGGTGGGTACATCTGGTTATTATTGTAGTAAAATCATAGGTATGTGTGTTTTTGTTTTTTTTTACCCCTCAGCTGAACAACAGTGAACTTGACCTCAAGGTCAGAGGTTGGAGGTCAAAGTTTCAGAATCTCTCCTGAATCCGATAACTCAAGAACAAGGCGACGTAAAATTTTGAAATTGATACCAAAGGTGTATCTAAATGGAGGCTGAGGGCACTGGCAGTTGCCAGTATTTTTAAATTTTGGCTTACTTTATTCACAACATGAATTAACAAGTCTGTTTGTTTAATTTGTTTTGTGCTCTGGTGGATTAAGCCCAAAAAGTTGATCTGGATTGAGCCATTAATGAATGTACTGGGATTTAGTATAACCTGCGTGGGAAAGCAACTTATGCTTTGTGTAGCCTGAAATAACTGCCAAGATGGCTGACGACCAGCAAGCTTTGTTTCTAGGAGGATTTTGACGGTGTGAAGTGGGTGTTGGACCATTGGAGTTCCATTACTGGAGAAAATCTACAGGTATAAAATGAATCACATTCAGAGAGAGTGCTGCAGTCACACTACGGACAACAGTTGTTGGAGCCTGCAGCACGGTCCATGTGAACTGAACTTGCAGTCTTGCAGCCTTTGAATAGGTCACTTTGAAGATAATGAACAGGTCTGCAAGACCACCCACAGTCAGTTGCCATTTTAAAAGCAACTTTGGTGCCTCAAAATGGTAATAAAAGGGAGTCAATCTGCTACCAGTTTGAGATTGAATGGTGTCAAGTTGGCAATTATGTACAAATTAGTTAAAAAAAAATCACAGATGTGGCTAACCAAAACTTCACATAAACTTACATTCAGGGTCCAGCAAGAACTTTAAAACGTTGAAATAGTTTCAGATTCATAGAAATTCCCCAGGTTTTTTTTTATTTTTTATAACATGTTGGCATCTGTCTCTGTGAGTGAGAGTTAGACCAGGATTACAGATAGGTTGGCCCCCATTGGGCGACCTGTGCAGTCGCTTTGAATGAAAAGCTAAAAAATGCTAAGAAAATATGTCTTTTTAGCCTGTTCCTACATGGTTGTTTGGTCTATATAATGAGATGCTACTGTGGTGAAATTAAAATGATAGCATCCTTTCATAAGCTGTTGTAGGCGGTTAAAGGCTAAAAACAGGTCATATCAGCCTGTTGCTACATGGTTGCCGGGCAACATGACAGTGTCATAATATATCATGCATAATTCATTTTTTGTGGATATAAGTTAGATGTTAATGTCATGAAATAAAAATGACACGGTACTTTTTAAGGTGTTATGGGTAGATAGTTGAGAAAAATGGGTGATTTTAGCCCACTGCCATCACGTTGCTAGGCAACATGACAACATCATAATATCTTATATAAATAAAAACCTTCAAGGACCTAAGATGTACTTGTGTGCCAAGTTTTGTTGATTAGCTATTGATGGTCTACGAGGAGTTTGCAGACAAAGAAACAAACACACAGACAGACAGAAATTTCATGTAATATAATAAGATTACAAATTTCTCTTAAGTTTAATTGTTGTGAGATTGCAAGTGCACAAGAAAACAAAATGTTGCTTTTAGACATTTTGTCGCATAATGGTTGTCATTAATTTTTCATGTTTTATATAAAAAGACACTGAAGGAACTGCCCCAAGAAATAAATGCCCCTTTTGAATTTGAGATTTTTAGTGTGGGCCCAGACTGGAGAAAGAGCCGTCATGGCCTCTGTGCCCCGTGAGAAGCGTTTCGTCATCTAAATTGGCTTCATAATGGCATGGCAGGTCCTAGTCAAATGGTATTCTACTCTGTTTATTTGGATATTTACCCCCTTCAGAGGGAAGATGTAGTGCTGATTCTGAACTGCTCAAGATAACAAGAGTGTTTTCGTCCCACACCCAGAAGTCTCAGAAACAGTCTCTGTCAATATATACCTTGAAGCGCTGACTTTTCCACATTTCACTTTCAGGTGATGGTGTTCTTTTATGAAAAATGTATAATGCATAACCAGCTCCCAGATTATCACATTGTAGCACCTGCAATATGTGAAACTTCAAACCCGGCTGTATTGTGGAAGCTGAACCTTCAAACACGAATGATATGCACTGCAGCACTGAATCCACATCAAAGGGGCCCAGTGACTAAATGAGATGCTCGATCCGGGGCAGGTTTGCTCAGGAGCATCACCGCCGCTGGAGGAGAGAGAGTAGTGTTCAGAGGCTTTGCACGGGAATTGCTACACACGCTGGGAAAACCCAGGGTGTGGGAAGATCAAGGCTTTCGCCAGCAGAACTCGTACTTCCCTCCAAAACCCAGACGCTTCATCGGAGGCTGTAATAGGTTAAATACTGCAGCTTCATCCAAGCTAAGGTTTCTGCACTATCAAGGAAAACCTAAACCTCGGCTTTAAGAAGATGCAGAATCAATGGTAATTGGATTTAGTCAAATGAGAATTGACCAAGCTGAAGCTTAGACGGATAAAGTATTATTTTCCTCTAGCCACCATCTCCATCCTGCTCCTTGATTGAAATCCTTCATTGCAGTGTTTGCTAATCATCAGTAGCTTGTACTAAGTGCTGTCTTTGACACTACTTACTACCCACTATATTCATATTCAAATCATACAAGCCCCAAAGTAGATATAGCAGTGCATTTGTGCTTCCCTAGCTGTGCACCAGTGCTCCCCAATAAGCCTTGGATCTTGTTTGGATCAAGCCAGCGAAGTTGCAAGCTTGTACGCAGCGCTCTTTGGCTCTGATTCTCCTGAAAAAATGCAATGATAGAAGTGGGTTGGAGGTTGTTGCCTTTGCCCAGGCTCTAACAAACACCATTCCCTGAAGGGGCATCCAACATAAAGGCTTACCTACTGGATGTTGCAGGGGTGTAAGGTAACAAAAACCAGCCCAGCGTTGCCTGCTTTACACACAGCCTCACACATCAAAGGCTTTCTGCTCAGATAGGGCACGGCAGGAAACAACAATCATATTTTTTTCAGTTATTCACTGAGTTGAAGGAGGGGGAACAAAAAAACTGTGGCCTTTCTGTGCATGTGGGGCAGAATTTGGTGACGCCAAGCATGCATGGTATTTATCACTGGTGACAGAATTGGTGGGGGGGACTCAGTTGACTGGAGGGCTGTATCAAGCAGCACAGTCAGTTCATTTAGACAGAACATCAAAGTCCTCCAACAGCTCTTTGGGGCCCAGAGATTGAAGTCTGAGTAGAGACAGGCTCGCGGGGAGTTATTGCTGCTGCCAGGGAAGTAGATCCTACTCTAAGTGCCTCGTGTAAACCGTGCATTCTCATTATGATCCTCACAAATCAGCACTTTTGACACATTGTGTTTCTGTGCACTGTAAGCAGGCTGTGTACCTATTCACCAAACGGACAAATTGGTTCTTCTAAGGGGCCTTGCTTTGAAAATGTCGCTAAAAGTTATGATTAAGTATGTTCTCTTTTCTTTATTTAGATTGGCATTGGATGCTTTTCAGCCTACATCATCAATTCACCGTGATGTCTTAATTACTGTTTAGAAAATAAAGGCTTTTGAAAAATCTGCTCTCCTTGTCATGCTTATGATGCCTGTTTAACATTTCCTCAGACTTGGTCAATTGTGGAAGAGGTGAATGGGGCCCAGCCTCGGTTGTTGGCTCTGAGGCTCTTAATTGGAAAC